CAGAAAAATTACGTACATATAGTTCATCTTGAAATTTATCATATTTCCATAACCTTAACTTACTAAAACAGAGCATCTGTATAATATTATTCAAGGTAAAAATTAACAATTTTTGATTTCTTTAAAAAAAAGTCTTGTAATCATTTTTCAAGTCAGAATACCTATCTCACTGAAAAATACTTTAACTCACCGCTCACCACAATCTTCATGGCTCAAAAATGTCCCGAAATGAATAGCTCAGCAAAAATATTCAGCTGATATAAGATAATCGGTAACTTAAATGCTTAAAAGTTGATATTTTATCCTAGTATCAGTTTATGGGGTCATATTTATAGAAAATATAAATCTTATAAAAACAGATGTTGCATACACATTTTTCTACAATAGGCTTAACTGACCTCTGATGTGAGTGAACTGTTAAAACAACATTGGGATAAGGGGGTGGGGACATGGGCAAAGCATATTTCCATCATAACTGTTTATATATGCGATCAAAGCAAATTGCATACAAGAAAAAAATAAAATAAAGAGAGGGTTAAGAAGAATGACATGACTAAATGTACTCCACAAAACTGAACAGTTACTGTAGATTCATTATTATTTGTTGTGTACTAATTTTCTTGTATTTCTTAAGGAATGACTGTAATATATTTTCTGTTTATGAAGAAATAACATCAAAAACGTGGTGCACACTAAATAACCCGTGTTGCACCACATTTTTCAGGTTATTTCGAATCGACAGAAAAAATATTACAGTTGTTCCTATAATTTAATTCTAAATTCCATTTTTAAGGAGTAAATCATGAAAAAAACGTTGATGATGTCACGGTCACATGACAAAATTATGCCTATGAGCTGATAGACAAAAAACTTTCAGCCAATCAGAAGACATGTTACATCCAAAATTAAATTATATTGATACAGATGAACCACAAAATTAAATGTTTCCTGAAGTATAATTTAGGGGTTGTATGCGAACTTTTGTAAAACAAAGAAATCTAGTATCAACAAAAATATAATTTTTCTATTATACTTGATAACTGGCACCCATGAAAATAAAGGGATCAACAGTAAAACAACTGATGGTCTCAGTGGCTGATGATGTTGTGCAATGTTTTTTATCTATTGACAACTTTGGTGTGAGTGTATGATAATCGGTTCTGTTGAATCAATACTTGTCACATAGTGTGACCCTGTCCATTGTTGTAGGCTGTATGATGACTTCAACAAATCTATTTTGATCAAGTCGATGAGGATGTCTCACTTTTTTATAATAATCAGCTAAGGCTAGACCTGGAACTAGAATCCTGTTACTAAGCCAATGACCATCTCCCATTCTCTATTTGTGTGCATGTCTTCAATTCAGTACATGATAAGTGAACAGCTTAAGTCATCATTATTTCTCTTCTTAATTTCATATTATATCTTTTTAATAAATGGCAAGAAATAATCTAAGTCATTCATGTCATAGACACAAAAGAAAATCAAGCCCTAAAGTGTTGGATTTAATAAGTATATCAGACGAAATAATACACTTTTCTTTTCATCTCATATCTAACAACTCATCCTATTTCACTCATTAGAATATTCATTACTGTTTTAAAGGGATATCTTGGTGTATTAAATGATAAAATATTTATAGACACAATTTAATGGTATAATTAAGGAATTTAGGAATTTAAGAATTTTTTTGAACTCAAACACATGCTTAATAAAAGGAAAGCCTGAAACCTCAAAACATTTAAGTCTACATCAACTGGAATATCAATAGGTTAGGTTGATTGAATTAAATTTTTCCCTTCACACTGGTGTTTTGTCAAGTTGTATCCCTTCACACTGGTGTTTTGTCAAGTTGTATCCCTTCACACTGGTGTACTGTCAAGTTGTATAACAAGTAATCAAATACTTTTTTGAACTCCACTTTATCATATACTGTGGGTTCCTTATTATTTGTCGGATAACAATTTTCCTGGACTTGGTGGCTAAAGGTAAACCATAAATTTAAATGTTAAACAAAGTAAAAAATTAATTTGTGCTTGAATGTAGATTTTTCGCTAAACTACAAAATCAAATATCCACGGAAATGCAACTTTTCCTCAATTCACGAAAATTGGTAACCTTGAACATATAAGAAACCACCATATATGTTTTAATGATCAAACAAGTTAATCAAACATATATATGTAAAACATAATGACTCAACTTGTGAAAGAGAAGTACGACGAAGAAAAATATCAGTGTTACAAAGCCTGTCTGGTGTATAGACCTTTGTCACTCAAGCATAAAATAAAGTTTATTTTGACCAAAACATGACAGGCATGCATTCAATCATGCAACAGATTCGAAATTAAATTGCTTGAAAGGATTGTTCCTTGAAATTTGTACATGGTACACAAAACAAGAAGTTGCCCCTGTATTCTTGCTAATCATACACCACTCATAGTTCAAAGTTTTTAAATAGGTGAAGTAGGTTTCTGACATTTCAGAAAAGCTCTCACATTACAACTAATCACTGTCAATCTACTGACCAAATATGATGATGTTCTGTTCAGTAATATCAGAAAAAGTGTGACAAAAATATATTGGTTGGAAGAGAAATGTGACATAAATGTGTTACAGACAGATGGACTCATGGGGGACAGAATGACAGAGGTAAACAAGAAAACCCCCCTTCCTTTGAAGCAAGAATATAATCACAAAGATTCTCAGTCTTCAAAAATTAGCACAGACCCTCCAGTCCAAGTTCCTTACAAATCCTCCTAAACAGCCTTATTGAATTTTGCATTGCATTCTATATAAAGGTATTAAAACTTTAGCTTTAGTACCTGTCAATTACAAGAACTTATTTCAATGACTGCATCCTAATAAGTTTGACTTGGACATGTACATATTACTAAATGAGATCAAGTTGTTTCAATTTCTTGAGTTCTCAGCTAATAAGAAACTTTCTATTAGCAATTTTTTTTACAAAACCATGCAATTATGTCCAGTTTAATTACAATACATAAAACCTTGATTAGTTTTCTTTGTATCATTACTATGAAGTCAATGAACTAGAAAATCAATTCTTGCCACCTGTGACTTGACAGCATTTTATTGTATTAAAGGGACTGTCAATAAGATGTTCAGGTGATCTACATCAATACTATAAGGATTCAGCTGGCAAACACTAGCCATAACAGATAATTTATAACCGTTGTTAAATTCTACCATCCTAAACATTAGTTATGCTTGTGGACCTTTTATACTAAGAACCCTTTTAATAAAAGACTGTTCCTTTTATTTTATATAAAATATAAAACTTAAAAATTTGTTATCGATACATACACGTAATTATTTTAATCCCAACTATCTACTTACATACACCCAACTTGCGTTTTTAACCTCTTGCAATGTACAGTTTAGCATTTCTAAATAATACACATTTTTTATCTTGTGTATCATGCACAATTTTTTGTAACATAAGACACATTCTGAACTGTTTAGTATATTTGGTTGTGGGTATTTATATTGTTACTTTTATGTTTAACAGGTATACATAGTCTTCATCACTATACCCTATAGTACACTTGTGCTCCACAATTAATGGAGGATAGTACAGGAAACAAAACTGAACTGAAACTGGTGTTAAAAGTCAAAATTAACTCTCGCTTTCCTGTTTCACTCAACATAAACATACATTTATATAAATTTCTAAAATGTCCAACTATTCACTATTCCATACAAACTTTTGTTTAAACATGAGATTGATCTTTGTTTAAACATGAGATTGATCTTTGTTTGAACATGAGATTGATCTTTGTTTAAACATTAGATTGATCTTTGTTTAAACATGAGATTGATCTTTGGACATTTTGATTTTGAAATAACTCACTCATGAGACACAATAACATTAGTTTATCTCTCCCAACATTTCTTACAACAATTATACAGAAGGCACCTTTAACCATAGCCAAAATTCCTCTTTTATACTGTAACACCTTTTCACTTTATTTAGTAACAGGAAACTTTAAAGGAACTAGAGTTATCTCTCCTTATCAGGAAAACCAGCCTAGTTAAAGTTCCTCTTTTCTGTCAAAACTTGACTTTCTCAAATATCAGGAAATTTTATGACAAACTGAGTTGTCTCTCCCTGAACAGAAGCAAATATTATCAAGCTTATCAATACTGACAAGAGGAAAATTCTGTACCAAATGTCAACTAATGATACTAATTGGTTTAGTCTAGATTTTATTCAGCCTCTGACATGTAATATACATGATATATAAACACATGAAAAATGTTATACTAAAATTAAAATTGCAACACCATTAGGCAATATAAATCTAGTTAGTTATAAATAAAAGAGTGAATGATTGGTTGGTACTTACTAATTTTCACTTAAAAGACAAGAGACTGTGGATTCATTTATTTTCATGGGTACCAATTTCTCGTGGATTGAGGAAAAATTGTATTTTCATGGATATTTGATATCGTGGATTTTCTTAAGTCTGCATAAAAGCCCATAAAAAATTTGTACTTCGATGAACATTTAAATTCGTGGTTCACCTTTACCCATGAAATCAACGAAAAATTGGTTTCCAACGAATAATTATGTATCCACAGTAATAATTCACAGGAAGACATTTCATTTACTCTGGCACATTATTCAGTTCTTACTTACTCCTGTATACTTTGTGGAGAAGCAGTAATATCAGAAGTCTCTAGTTTGATCTTCCCAGGGATTTCATTAAATACCTTGCCACTGAAAACATGCCCATGCATTTTCCAACCAATTTCTAAGAGTTGGACAGCAAACACGATCTTTTCATAGCAGTGACACAGTTAGAGATGCCATAACTGTGAAATTAGTCAGAAAATTATAAATTGCTTAATATTGCAATCAGGAGTTTTAGAAGGCAAAGGAGAAATTTTATGCACCTGTTTAAATACATCCCTTCACTTCCACAATAAGATCATATGATATACCACAAAAGTTACAAGTCATAAATAGTTCTTACCTCTATCTGAAGGTGTTCGCCTTCCATCAGAGTAGTTTTCTTGAGGTGGGGGTGCCATGTTTAGGCCTTCATTGCTCCTCTCCATACGATCATCAAACATAGGTTGTTGGTTAACAGGATCTTCGTCACTGTATCTGTCAACATACCCAGGAGGAGGACCACCTAAAAACATGCATTAGACATCAGCAAGAATATTATCAAGATATGGCAGTTTTTATCACTCAAATTTGTTGTATTGTAACAAACATTTAAAATATAAATGTCCAAAATTATGCCTGGCAAATTTTTAAAACAGTCTGAGGCAAATAAACTTTTGTTTCTATCAAAAGAAATCTGTCATTGTACTCAACTTCAAACACCATAAGTTTCAAATGGTGTTTATTTGTTAATATCTTTTATTTAATGTTTAAAAAAATATGTTTTTATTTCTTTTAATTCTGGACTATCAGTAAGCATTATAAAGTATCAATATATATTTGATAAAACACCTGTACTCTTATTGAAGGTCAGTAAGCTATTCTTTATGTGCCTGTCCCAAGTCAGGGGCCTGTATTTTGTTGGTTCATGTCTATCGTATTTGTTTTGTTATAAATTAGGCCGTTAGTTTACTCCATTGAATTGATTCACATTTTTCATATCCGGGCCTTTTATAGCCAACTATACAGTATGGGTTTTTCTCATTGCTGAATGCCGTACAGTTGTCTATAATTGCTTACATCCACCTCATTTGAACTTTGGCGGATTGTTGTTTCATTGGCAATCATACCATATCTCCTTATTTTTATATATTATCAACAAAAGCAATCAATATACATACCATATCCATCATTGGTAGGGGATGGTTGTCTATCAGCTAGTCTTCCAGAATAAGGATCCTCATCCTGTAGGTGACGACTTCCATAAGGGTTATCCTCTGGTCGTGGCCTTCCACTGTATGGGTCTTCATCCCTATATCGGTCATCTCCTGGTGGACCTCTGCCAATAAATGAATCCTCTTCTTCATCTTGTGGACCTCTACCTAAGTAAGGGTCATTGACAGGAGGCTCTCTCCCAAAGTCTTCCACTGGTGGACCCCGTCTGTAAGGGTCATCTTCATCAGAAGGAGGGTCACGTCTATATGGGTCTTCGTCTCTATATCGATCATCATCTCTATACCTATCATTCCCTGGACCATCAAAATGATCTCTATTGGCCAAATTCTCCTTACTTTGGAAAGGGTCATCAGCAAAAGGGTCCTGATGAACTATAGGAAGACCATGATGTTTAACCTCAGGTCTGTAAGGACTGTCATCATAGTCACCAAACGTTTGTTCTTGTGGTTGGTCCCCATAACTATCATTCAAGGGACCATCATGTCCCCTGTAGCCTTCTGGACCATGGCCATCATGGGGAGTTCTAGGGTTGTCAAGACTTAAATCAGCAAGTCTATCCTCTGTTGGCATATATCGATCATCTTGAGGCTGACCATATTGGTCCATGTAACGATTATCATCCCTATATCCATCTAATCCTCTTGGGTCACTACCATATGGATGTTCATTGTAACGTTCCTGTGAAGGAGCCCCATAGCCCTCGTCATGGTATGGGTCATTTTGGGGTATACCTTTATGAACATTGTACCTTTCTCCAACAGGAGAGTCCCTATAGAAAGAGTCACTGACATGAGAATCATTGTGAGGATTGTTTGGAGGATGCTCACTGAAAGCAGACACATCACCATAGCGATCGTTTGGTGGTCCACCATAAGATTCTTGTTCTGTTGGCTGACCCATGTCCCTGAAAAATTTAATGTTTTGTGACCACCTTTGTTTCAGTAAATATTTTTCTTCAAGATCATACTAATAATTTTTGTTATTTTATGACAAACTGCAAAATTTTATTGTAAATTTTAAAATTACATGGTTTAAAGTTTTTTATTGCCAATTTTTTTTACAAAATTCTTTAGACTATATTGTATTACTTCAAACTTTCAAGATAAATAATTTCTATCATTCTAATTTATATATATATCTGAAACAATAAACATATCTTAGTAACTGTTTTTTTCATTCTTATTTCTAATTCAAGCAAAAATCAATCCTTTCAAGCAGCATTTATGTATAAATGTTAATAAATCACAATAAAAATCACTATAATAAACAAAGTTTTGTCTAATGTTAGTACTCAAATCAAAATGACATTAATCAAAAAGCACCATGTATAATACCAGTGCATAAAATATTATAAAATTATCAATTTTTTAAAATAGAGGGTCTCTATTAGTTCCTTACTGTTATGTAAATACAAATTAAAAAGCAAAGTTCATGATCTACATACTCAATAATTAATGAGAAACGGTGCATTAATCTTAAATTTTATGAATTAGAGCTTTTTTTATTTTACACTAAATGTGTTAAGCTAGTTAGACAAATGAAAATAAGTGGCGAACATAGACTTAATGTACTTTTTAACCAAGACAATAATAGGTCTACTTAGTTTATTTTCCACAGAATGGAAAGAAGTGAACCTACATTTTTACACTCCAAGTTTCTGGGGATGCTTTTAAACTAATCTTAAATTTTTGCTTTTGACTTTATCAGTATATGATATATTTTACAGTAGCATTTCTTTCTCTGTTTTGTGTCTACATGTTCTTTCTCTGTTTTGTGTCTACATGAAGTCTTTATTTTTTGCTAAACTAACTAAACTGGCTTGCAAAACTAACAGTCCTACACTTCTATGCTTTAAATTAGCCATCCATAAATGCAACCTCGGCAACTCAAATTTTCTTTACACTATACACTTTTCTTGCAAAGATTTATTTCAATGACTACTCTTCCTTTTTTCTAAACACCCCTTTTTTCAAAAGTAATGAATTTGAGTTGCCCAAGTTTTACTATGATTTATACACACTAGCATGCTATAATAATTTTTTCAGGCATATAAGACATGATTACATATCATGCATACACATTCTGTCAACCTCAAAATCAAAACTGATTAATTTTTTATAAAGGATTTCTCCAGACTGATAAAAGCTTATCAAAGGGAAATAAAACCGAAGTTATCTCCCTTTCCTTGTCACAATTCATGATTTCTTGCTTATTAGATGAAACAACATTTTGTGACTACCAGCTATCCTTACGCTTTACTATTGATTCAATTAAAAGGAAGAAAAACAGAATTTTTTTTAGCATTTTATTCAGGCCCACAAATTTATTGCATGGATGTGAAAATCTCCTCTCTTTTCTTAAAACTTTACAGATAACAAAAAACAAAAACAAATTCCGTTTACAGATAACAAATAAAATGCTCCGCAGGGCGCAGCTTGATACGACCGCAGAGGTCGAACCCTGAACAGTTGGGGCAAGTATGGACACAACATTCAAGCTTGATACAGCTCTGAATTTGGATTGTAATTAAATATTTGACACAGCATTGGTTTCTGACACAGAATGAATGTGGTCTAAGAACTTAAAAATTTTAAATTGGACATTCACCTATTATGGTCCAATATCCAAAATCTAAATACATGGTTAGATTCAGCATATCAAAGAACCCCAAGAATTCAATTTTTGATGAAATCAAACAAAGTTTAATTTTGGACCCTTTTGATCTCAATGTGGACAAAGTTGATAACGGGGCCCAAAAATCTAAATACATGGTTAGATTCAGCATATCAAAGAACCCCATATATTCAATTTTTGTTGAAATCAAACAAAGTTTAATTTTGGACCCCGATTTGGACCAACTTCAAAACTGGGCCCATAATCAAAAATCTAAACACATGTTTAGATTCAGCATATCAAAGAACCCTAAAAATTCAATTTTTGTTAAAATCAAACTAAGTTTAATTTTGGACCCTTTGGACCTTTATGTAGACCAATTTGAAAACGGAACCAAAAATTAAGAATCTAAATACACGGTTAGATTCGGCATATCAAAGAACCCCAATAATTCAATTTTTGATGAAATCAAACAAAGTTAAATTTTGGACCCTTTGGACCTCAATGTGGACCAATTTAAAAACGGGGCCCAAAATCCAAAAACTTAATACAGGGTTATATTCAGCATATGAAAGAACCCCATATATTCAATTTTTGTTGAAATCAAATAAAGTTTAATTTTGGACCCCGATTTGGACCAGCTTGAAAACTGGGCCCATAATCAAAAATCTAAATACATGGTTAGATTCAGCATATCAAAGAACCCCATATATTCAATTTTTGTTGAAATCAAACTAAGTTTAATTTTGGACCCTTTGGACCTTTATGTAGACCAATTTGAAAACGGAACAAAAAATTAAGAATCTAAATACACGGTTAGATTCGGCATATCACAGAACCCCAATAATTCAATTTTTGATAAAATCAAACAAAGTTAAATTTTGGACCCTTTGGACCTCAATGTGGACCAATTTAAAAACAGGGCCCAAAATCCAAAAACTTAATACATGGTTAGATTCAGCATATTAAAGAACCCCAAGAATTCAAGAATAAAACCCCATTGAAATTGATCAAGAAATAAGCAATTTATACAAAGTATATTCTTTTGCACAATACTGTGCAATTGAATATTTCTTGCTATTGCGCAATACTGTACAATTGACAATTTCTTGCTATTGCGCAATATTGTGCTATTGGATATTTCTTGCTATTGCGCAATACTGTGCAATTGAAGATTTCTTGCTATTGCGCAATACTGTGCAATTGAAGATTTCTTGCTATTGTGCAATACTGTGCAATTGAAAATTTCTTGCTATTGCACAATACTTATTGTATAATAATTTACACATCCTGTTTGGTGTGTATTTCCTACTATATCATTATTATTTGCTTTTAAATATAAATCAGAAATAACCAACTTAAAATGGAAAATTTTAAAAGAAAAAAAAAAGGAAAAAAAGAGAAAAAAAAGAAACCCCCCCCCCCCCCCCAAATTTTTTGAACCCCCTTATGATTCATCACCCCCAAACTCAATCCCAGCCTTCCCTTTGTGGTATGGTATCTTGCAGTACAATTTCAGAGAGATCCATACAATTGAACACAAGTTATTGTCTGGAAACTAGAAAAATGCTTATTTTTGGCCCCTTTTTGGCCCCCAATTCCTGAACGTTTCGGGCTAATACCCCCAAACTCAATTCCAGCTTTCCCTTTGTGATATGGAACCTTATAGTACAATTTAAGAAATATCCAAACACTATCACACAAGTAATTGTCATGAAACTAGAAAAATGCTTGTTTTTTGCCCCTTTTTTGGCCCCTAATTCCTAAAATTTTGAGGCAATTACCCCCAAAATCAATTACAGCCTTCCCTATGTGATATGGAACCTTGTGGTACAATGTCAGAGAGATCCATACACTTACACACAAGTTATTGTCTGGAAGTTACAAAAATGCTTATTTTTGGCCCCTTTTTGGCCCCTAATTCCTTAACTGTTGGTACCATAACCCCCAAAATCAATCCCAACCTTCCTTTCGTGGTATTGAACCTTATGGTAAAATTTCATGGAGATCCATAAACTTAAACTAAAGTTAGAGTGCGAAAACCAATGTGTCTTCGGACGACGCCAGACGACGCCGGACGACGACGACGACGACGACGACGACGACGACGACGACGACGACGACGACGACGACGACGACGACGACGACGCCAACGTCATACCAATATACGACCAAAAAATTTTTAATTTTTGCGGTCGTATAAAAATTTTTAATTTTTGCGGTCGTATAAAAACAAAAACAAATTCCGTCAACTTCAATTCTCAAAATTCATGGTTGACAGAGTAAAGCCCAATTTCATCCACTACAAATTTCATTTAACTACAAGAGAAAATGGTTACAAAAGATTATGATAATGCTGATGACAGTGTAAAAATGCGTGGTTATTTTATCCCTCTTCCATACAATGGAATCTGCAGTATCACGAGCATGAGAAAAAAGTTTTCCAGGATTACAAAATATCCATACGTTAAAAACACATAATTTCTTATAAAATATTACCCACAACATACTTAACTGGAGCTTAAATTTAGAATGTTTTGTAATGCGTAAATATTTTACAAAGAACACTTTTAAGAAAAAAAGAAATATGATGATATTTTTTTATCCAATGTTTACTTAAATCATGAACTATGAAGTTTAAAAAAGTAACAGGGTGAAATTCTGTTATTCTTTTTATCCCTTACTGCATTTTATGCCAAAAAAATTAATGATAACAATACTGATAAACTTTTTTTTTATAAATTTTAAACATGTTAAAGAATTCCCCCTCTCTCCCAAAAAAAAGCATAATAAAGGGAATTTCAACCAAAGTTTCTCCCTTTTCTTGTCTGTGAATATGATTCCACATCGATTAAAAGGTTAAAAAACTGAATTTCATTTAACTCAAAGAAATTTTACTTAGTTTTTACAATGAGATGATGCTTTCAAATATACTTCAATAATCCTAGAACACTTCACAAAAATCCCACAATGCACTTCATTCTCTTATGACAACTTTCTTAACTTTTTTTGAATTTTTTCATAATATATGTATGATTATATTCTTACAATAAGATACACAGTCTGAAAAACATGCTACAAAATGCACTTTAATACTTTAATACAAACTATTTGAAAAAAAAATTGAATCATTTATTGCAAATTTACTGATTGACTTATTTACTTTTTACAGATATTTTTAAAATGTTTTCAACAACTTTTTTTAACATGTCTTTTATGTAAAGTTTCCTAAAATGTCTTAAAAAAATTCAAAAGTAATTCTTTAAAAAAAAAAAATTAATCTAATGAAAGAAAAAATTAATATACTTTTGCATGGTGGGACACTTAAATGAGCATTTTCATTTAAGGCTAGGCTGACAAGTCATTTCCAGAAATCATTACAAATATTCTAAGTTTAACTACCATAAATCCAGTACAAATTCAAAATAAAATGATTTCTTGTCATTTGTGTCACACCTAGCACTTAACTGAGCATGCTCTATAACCCATCTACCTAGGATCATAATGATACTGCTGCTGAGGACGCTGGAAGCTATCGTTAGAGGCCAAACTGTAGCGAGGTGAGTTATCGTTATAATAATCGCTAGCATATTGCTGTTGGTTCAACCTTGTAGGTGTTCCTGGCGATCCTCTCATATCATCGTAGCCTGGCTGTCTAGCTAATGAGGAGTATGATGTATAATTGTCATTAGGGTGGTTTTCTCTCTGTACCTAAAAAGAAGAAAAAAGCCTGCATTAGTGCCAATAGTAGTTGTCAATCATATTTTTATTATTATTATTATTATCAAAACATAAGATTAACATTCTGTTCATACACAAATATTTCAAATATCCAGGAGTTCCTATGGGTTATTTTCCATAAGTCCTTGTTTATTCACATAAGTGTCAAGCAATTTATTAGCCGCTGAGACTGACCTAAATTTCAAATACTTTTATCATTATTATAGGTAAAGAGTTTGTTGGTTCTAAGCAGATAGTTGGTGATTAATCCTAGGTACTCTAGTTCTGTGGCCAACAAAACAATTGAACCATGTATACTATGTGACATTAAACCCAAGCAAACAACTGATGTTGGACCTAAATAAACAACTCATAAGGATTTAAAAATTGACATATTGTTTAGACATCTGTTGACTGTTGAAACTGTGGATATTTTTGTTCTTTTATTTGTTGGGTTTTTGGCCCATATCCTTTATTCAACAACAATGTTCAATATGTTGATTATTATTCACAAAGGTCCAAGTCGGATACTTTTTTTAGTTTTTAATATTTTTCTTCTTAGTTTTCTGTATCACAACTACCCTTAATTTCATTATCCATATTATATTTACAATGTTGCTGACGTTAGAGCTAATTTCCTAATGCTTGTAGAGTGAGACTTTGTTTAGCTTGCTTGCTATGCTTATATAAATGTTTGCTCAAGCACTGTAATTAAGATTGATATCATACTTAAATTTGATTGGTTGTATGAATCTAAATATACTGTAGGCAAGTTTAACTCCACCTATTTATATTGTTTGCAGATGTCTATCTCAATTACTTCGTTTGAGCAAATTTATACAAACAAAGCAAGCAAGCAAACCAAAACCTAACTCTACAAGCATTAGGAAATTAGCTCTAAACTTTCAATTATAATACCTATATTAACTATTTCAACCAGTTTAACAATTCGTCATTGCATCACACTAGCTCAGTCATTCTGAAGTCAAGATCATAACAAACTCTTTGATTTCTGTGTTTCAGGGAAATCATTTTTATGTCAACGGATATAATAAGGCTACAATATGTTGCCTCAGCAGGTTAAAATTTTAATGTTGAATCTTTCAAATAAGTTTGAGAAGTGCAAAATGTTGGTTACTTTGTATTTTATTTAAATTCGGTTCTACAGGGTCATTACTTTAATACAGATAAATGCCAGTAATGTTTGGAGTCTTCAGATAAAACATTTAAAAGGAAATCAATCATTTTTTGATTTATGAGACAATTTTAAATATATTCCAAAATTTATGTAAAAATCAATAACACAATACACTATCTCATGTTTTTGTACATGTAAATGTCAATCATTTATCTAATCTTCAAGTATCTAATAAGAGTCTGTAACTGTCATAAATATTGTTGAAATTGACCCTCATAGTCAGGACAGGTAACCCCTTATCTATCATGTCTAGGTTATTTGTACCAACACTGAGAATTACTCCAATTCTTGTCAAGTCAAAAATAACAGAAATAAATAAATGAATGAGTTAAATGTGAAACTTTATCTCATTTAGTTTTCCCAGGATGTTCACTAAAAGACAAATGTGACTGCACATGCATTTTGATGATTATGGTGGATCCAGTAGCAAATATTACATGCATATCGGGGAAAAGAACATGTTATTTATCTATCACTCTACTATAAGACCAATTGGTATTCCATTGGTGACTACCCTTTCTTGTACTTGGGGATGAGTGCATAGGGGTCTTCACCGTCAGTCATCCATCTCTAATGTCAGAAATTACAAAATAAGTAGAGAGATGTTGCTTGTAATATTTGTAAACCTGTGTCCTTACCATTCTGTTTCTATCGTTACTCTGTAATGATGTATGAGATGCGTGAGGTGACCTTTGGTCCATGTATTGTGGGTCATAACCCTGATTGTAGGAATCATTGTACAATTGTCTCCCTCCACCACTGTAGGGGTCCTCGTAATCCATGTTGTTGTCTCTGGAAAAAAATTACAAAATTATTCTTAAAAGTGGCAAGACTAAAAACAAATTTAAATGAAGAAAAGAAACTTCTGTTTTTAACAATGTTTTTAGAGCATGTATACATATATCAACATGGTCTTTTTTAATTGTTCAATCTTCTACAGTATTTGTGTGAATGTGTATATGTCTTTTTTATTTGTTAATTTAATAATGCACATCATACTTCATTTACAAGTTATCCCAAAATATCAACTGGAGAAAATAGCTGGTACCAAATCTGAATACTTTTTTAAATCTTCATCTTTCATCTTATTGACTTATTGAATATGTCTGATTTCAGAGCATTTATAAGGTTGCTCCAAGAAATCTGCAAAACTGGTGTAAGAGTAACCCAATGATATCTTTCCTCATAATGTAGTATTTTATAAATATAGACCTATTTGCATAGAAATTATTTAATCAGAGGAAAGGAGTGTTTCACAGCTCAAAATTCCCCAATATACTTAAAACACATTTTTTAGATTGTCCCCAAGTTGTTTTTGTCAAATTTGAATGAAACTTTTTAAGATAACTGTTTTTTAAGACAAATCTGTATTTCTGCACGAAAAATGATATACGGGCATACAGCTAAAGTATCATAGGGAGCAATAACACTTAATTTCAATATCTGTATTTAAATCATGATTTCCAAGTAATAAAATGTCATAAAAATTTTTATAACCATTAAAGACTGCACATATTTATGAGTTTAATAGAATTTTTTTTATCAAAATCAGACCTTAAAGTTTTTGACAATTTTTTTATCTTTTAAATGTTTTTATATATATACATGATATATAAAATAAATGGCTGAATTTTTTGAGTGGTGAAACACTTTCGACCTCTGATCCAATTTTTTTTCTAATTTAACTTGCAATAAACACTGAGACCTTTTTCAAGCCTATGTCAGTAAATTATGGTATTTGAAATAATAAACATACCCAAATGTGCCCCTGTTATCAAGCTCTCTCCTAAAAATAAAGAAAAAAGAATCTTAAAGTTATGTTATACACAAGTTTAAATACTTGGAGGTAATCCTGTAATGTATCCTTATTACATAGATTTTTTTTCTTTGGTAACAACACAGGTGGACACAACTGAATCTTTTGATGAAATCATGTGACTTGTGATATACAAGTTAAAAATTGCAAAAAAATAATATACTTTATTTCCTCTTATTGTTGGTAGGGACAAAGAATACAAAGTACTTGTATGTACCACAAATATGACACAGTTGATACAGTGCATAATGAAATATGATAGAAGAAGTCACAGGGAACGTGAACCCAGTTTGTATAGCCTACAAACCACTGACAATAAGAAGCTTACATGCCCGTAGGAGTGCTAGAACTGTGACATTAATGTCCTGGACAACTTACTATTTACTATGACCTGGTAATTTAATCCTGTTTTAAATTCAAGTTTTCTTTCTTTGCCAATAACATAATTATCCCTGAATTTAAAAGGTTTAAAGCTCTTCTCACGAGAACAGTAAACAATAATATACCCTAAATGTATACCTAGTGTTTCCTTTTGTGCAGACTCCTAGACATAAATATATCGTAACAAAGGGAAGTACATATTTTTAATGCAATTTTCAATCCTAAATTTTTAAACATGAATAGGCATTCATTTGAGTAACAAAAAAATAAGTATAACATAAAGCGTTAAGCCACTTTAACAGAACACACTATAAAATACTCATGACATAGAGTTATCAAATTTCATACTTTATGATCAAATTGGTATAAGTCATCGTAAATCTACAAAACCTTGTACATTTCAGTTGAGTATGTGTAATTGTAATTTATAAAGTCATGGGGCCAATCTTTATATCCAATTGTCCAGTTATACAGAATTATTTCAATCCGCAACATTCATACACTTTGAAAAAATCTGTATCTTCTTGCTTTGTTTGTATCTTTAAATGTTTCCCCACTTGCAATAATTTTATTTAAAGTTATTAGGAATTAAGACATTTACACGGACTGTCTGAAATTCAAAGATATACTTCTCCTACAATACTTTAAGTAAAAATCCTTTAACTAGCTGAAATGTTTATGGTGTGAATAATAGAGAATTATGTCTACTTATAAAATACTGCAGCTCCTACAAAGTGAAATAAAATGCTCCGCAGGGCGCAGCTTGATACGACCGCAGAGGTCGAACCCTGAACAGTTGGGGCAAGTATGGACACAACATTCAAGCTTGATACAGCTTTGCATTTGGATTGTGATTAAATATTTGACACAGCATAGGTTTCTGACACAGAATGAATGTGGTCTAAGAACTTAAAAATTTTAAATTGGACATTCACCTATTATGGTCAAATATCCAAAATCTAAATACATGGTTAGATTCAGCATATCAAAGAACCCCAAGAATTCAATTTTTGATGAAATCAAACAAAGTTTAATTTTGGACCCTTTTGACCTCAATGTGGACAAAGTTGATAACGGGGCCCAAACATCAAAAATCTAAATACATGGTTAGATTCAGCATATCAAAGAACCCCAGATATTCAATTTTTGTTGAAATCAAACAAAGTTTAATTTTGGACCCCGATTTGGACCAACTTGAAAACTGGGCCCATAATCAAAAATCTAAATACATGTTTAGATTCAGCATATCAAAGAACCCTAAGAATTCAATTTTTGTTAAAATCAAACTAAGTTTAATTTTGGACCCTTTGGACCTTAATGTAGACCAATTTGAAAACGGAACCAAAAATTAAGAATCTAAATACACGGTTAGATTCGGCATATCAAAGAACCCCAATAATTCAATTTTTGATGAAATCAAACAGTTTAATTTTGGACCCTTTGGACCTCAATGTGGACCAATTTAAAAAGGGGCCCAAAATCCAAAAACTAAATACACGGTTAGATTCAGCATATTAAAGAACCCCAAGAATTCAAGAATAAAACCCCATTGAAATTGGTCAAGAAATAAGCAATTAATACGAAGTATCTTCTTTTGCACAATACTGTGCAATTAAATATTTCTTGCTATTGCGCAATACTGTACTATTGACAATTTCTTGCTATTGCGCAATATTGTGCTATTGGATATTTCTTGCTATTGTGCAATACTGTGCAATTGAAGATTTCTTGCTATTGCGCAATACTGTGCAATTGAAGATTTCTTGCTATTGTGCAATACTGTCAATTGAAAATTTCTTGCTATTGCACAATACTTATTATATAATAATTTACACATCCTGTTTGGTGTGTATCTCCTACCATATCATTATTATTTGCTTTTAAATATAAATCAGAAATAACCAACTTAAAATGGAAAATTTTAAAAGAAAAAAAAAAGGAAAAAAAAAAAATCCCCCCCCCCAAATTTTTTGAACCCCCTTATGATTCATCACCCCCAAACTCAATCCCAGCCTTCCCTTTGTGGTATGGTACCTTGCAGTACAATTTCAGAGAGATCCATACACTTGTCAACACAACTTATTGTCTGGAAACTAGAAAAATGTGTTTTTTGCCCCTTTTTGGCCCCTAATTCCTAAAATATTGAGGCAATTACCCCCATCATCAATCCAAGCCTTCCCTTTGTGGTATGGTACCTTGCAGTACAATTTCAGTGAGATCCATACACTTGAACACAAGTTATTGTCTGGAAACTAGAAAAATGCTTATTTTTGGCCCCTTTTTGGCCCCCAATTCCTAAACGTTTCGGCAATTACCCCCAAACTCAATTCCAGCTTTCCCTTTGTGATATGGAACCTTGTAGTACAATTTCAGAAAGATCCATACACTTACACACAAGTAATTGTCATGAAACTAGAAAAATGCTTGTTTTTTGCCCCTTTTTTGGCCCCTAATTCCTAAAATTTTGAGGCAATTACCCCCAAAATCAATCCCAGCATTCCTTTTGTGATATGGAACCTTGTGGTACAATGTCAGAGAGATCCATACACTAACACACAAGTTATGTCTGGAAATTACAAAAATGCTTATTTTTGGCCCCTTTTTGGCCCCTAATTCCTTTACTGTTGGTACCATAACCCCCAAAATCAATCCCAACCTTCCTTTTGTGGTATTGAACCTTGTGGTAAAATTTCATAGAGATCCATTCACTTAAACTAAAGTTAGAGTGCGAAAACCAATGTGTCTTCGGACGACGCCGGACGACGCCAGACGACGACGACGACGACGACGACGACGACGCCAACGTCATACCAATATACGACCACAAAAATTTTTTGCGGTCGTATAAAAAAGTTTGGACCAACAAATATAGCTCACTTAGGACACTCCTACTTTAAGTGTTGCTAAACAGAAAGTTTATCAGTGATGAATCTGAAAATGCATTACGCAGTATAACATGCTCAAGCTTGACACCAAATTTCAGGAATCTTTAACTTGTAGTTCCAGAGAAAAATGTCATCCAAATTTAATGCGACAGGTATAATGCAGAATACCCCCTCCGACTTTTTGGAGTGGGGATATAATTATCCCATTGGTAAAGAATATGGATGAACCATTTAAAACCTGTTATAGTTTATATTTTGTTGATAGGACCCTACAGTAATGTATATGTAGTAGGATCAAAACCTAGGACTGATTGATTGATTGTTGGTTGCTTAACGTCCAGTGGCAAATATTTCATGCATGTTCAGGACAAGAAAAAATAAACAATAAATACAACAGGTAGGTCCTGTAATAGAGGCCGTTTGGAATGAAGGTCGGGGTTAATTTGGACTGCCAATGTAAAATAAGGGTATAATTGATAGGGGCAGAAATTTAGCCTTGCAACAGGCCACCTACGGACCCCTCAAAGAGTTGTTGCAAGTGTTCTTAACGTGCAGAGAGCATGGCACTCTTTCTACATGAGGCATCAAATTTAACGTCCTCATTCTGACCGGACGTTCAAAACCTGTTGAAAGAGCAACAACAGCTCTGCTTCTTTGCTTCTGGTTTTTAAAAGTGTGTAGGGATTTTGCTTCATGAATTTTAAAATGCTCCATATCCCCTTCTTTCCTAACAAAATTTGATGTAACAATACATTACAACTTTTTTCAAACAACTACATTTGCACTGTAAGAAAGGTCAAAAAAGGCTATTTATAATGTTATTTGAAACATTTCAATAAAAAAATGTACTGGTAGAATGGGATTTTCTTTAAAACATTAGTCTTAAATTTGTTTTAGAAGCTGCATCATTTAAATTAACACAGTGATGGAGGGAATACTGCCAATATCATATACTAGTGTTCTTCAATGAACTTGATTGCACCATGGTGCTTTATTTTTTACCATGCTTATTTCAGAATAGATTTTATAAAAAAAACTTAATATAAATGTGGTGCTGTAATATTAGGCAAACAGTGCTATTTTGAAATCCCAATTGGCAATGAAATTTTTGGGGAGATCACAGATATACATGTACACTTCCAACTAATCAAATAAATTTGCCCATTTTATAACCAAATATAAATATTATTGTTGGATGTCATCAGATAGCCAGAAGGAATACTTTAAAACTTAAATATTTATCCAGTTTGGTGCCAAAAACAAGCTCAAATTTTAACTATATCATAACACCAATTAACAACTTCTAAGATATATGATTTTAATCACAAATTCATTTCATACTTTATGGCATATATATTTTGATGGCGATAGATTTGGTAAATGCATTTGCATAGTTCTCAAAATCGTTTCGCTGGTGGTTCTTGATGAAAACCTGCTGGTCCTCACTATCATTTCTTTAGAAAAATACAAAAGTGGTGTTGGTCCTTCGCAAAATTTTAGTGGTCAAAACCTTTACATTGCACATTCAATGTACAGAAAACAGACAAAATAGTTACATGTACAGGTACCTTTCAGAATGACATGCTAATTATATGATAAAGGATACATGAAAAATATTGACAAAGTTACGCTTATTATTTTAAAACCAATCCACTTATTTAATGTAAATAAAGCCTACAAGTACTACATGTGTATATATCAAACAAACCCAAGCCCAACAAATTCCAATACTTTAATCTAATAAAATATCAGATAAAGTAATTAATTTTTTGACCACATAATACCACATATTATGCCTTAGCTTATTTTAGTCTGAAAATATTTAATTTTTGCGTAACCAATCTTTTATCTTTATTTACATGTGTCACATAATTGAAATTTAAACAACTTCAGAACAGCGAAGGATATGCTCTGATGGAGTTGGTATTCATTGTATACACAGCTGGAATGGAATGTCCCAAACAGTTCAAAAGAAGTCCGAGTTTAAAAGATCTTTGATCAATGAGCTACAGATCAATTAACCCTGGTGGACACTTGTACAGTGACTACATTTAATCACAACAGTTTGACCAAATCCCCTTGTAGGGTAGCTTGTTTTTTAAATGAAGTGTTTGAATAATTTTAGAGTTTGTGAATGTCAATGGAATGCAAAACACTGACATGATGGGTTAATCTATCAGTGCTTTTTAAAATAATATAACTGATTGGACATAAAACAAAATACCCATTGGTAGCTTTCCTAGGCATTTGCAAATTCCTGCCAAGAGGAGAAAATAAACTAATTAAGGGAGAAATGGGCAAATCAAATTATTAGTGGCCCGATGTATAAGTCACCAATTAATTCAAAGCATTCCATTTAGTCCCTAGGGCTTGTAAACAGCAAGTCTTTTTACATAGGAAGCTAAGCTATGCCAAAAAAGATGAATTATTGGCTGAAAATTGCCCCTTCATCAGCAGATGCTGTATTACTTGTAAGAAGTGTTTGCTGAGAAGATGAATTCTATCAAACATGTTGTGAGCGGAAAAAAAACAACTGTATTATGAACAAAGTCATTTTCTGTGTATTTATTTTTTTTTTCTGGGTTCCAATTTTAATGAAAGTCAAAGTCAACATGTCAATGTACACTTAATTTCTAGTTCAAATGTACCCATAAAATCCAGTAACATTAGAGCTTCACTTATACACATGTTATAAGAATGAATCCACAGTATTTGTTCATATATTGTTCTATCAGCCCTACATGTATATGTACATGATGTACAAGGATAATGTTTATGGTTATAAATACATGTATCATGTTCTAGTTTTATGAGCAACTTAAATGCGTAAATGACTAATCATGCAAAAACATAATTGATAGATGTCCTATAATGTTAAAGCTCTGTACAATCATGCAGCTAAACAAAACAAAACAAAACAAAATTTTGAAAAGAGCAGTATTTATGCAAAACCCTTATAAAATTTTTGGCACTTCCACCAAACTGTGGCCAAGTAAAACAATGGGGTTTTTTTTATCAGCAAAAAATACTTTTCCCTAAAAAAAAATGTGGGTATATATCTTTCAATCAGTTGACAACATTCCTTTCAAACATCTTGGAAGATGCTGATTTAAAGAAAACAAAGGCCATGCTTTGTTAAGAAATAAGGGAGAACAGAATACAAGATGGTTTGGTATAATTGATTGCTTGTGGAAATTTAAATACAGGTACCTCAACTTCCTAACACTAAAACCTACCCTTTACCAAAAATACTTACAGGCAGGAGTCAAGGAGGTGTGAGCTCATTTTAGAGTCCCCCACAGTATCATCATGGAGTCGTGAGTCAGAGTGAGGACTACGCCAATAAGAATCATCTGCGCTATTGATGCTATTCATACTATCGGCCTGACTACCCACCCTGTACTGCAATGATATAAAACCAAACACTGCTAAATGTCCATGCAAAACTAAAAAGGGTAACCAAATACCTAACAGTAATTTAGCTATACATGAACTACAGTCAAACCTGTATATAAAGGCCACCTTTTGGGACAGGGAAAAGTGACCTTATAAGAGAGGTAACCTTTGAAAGGTGGTTCAAAATCCATTGGTGTTCCTACAGTTGGACAAGATGAGGAGGGGCCTCATAAAACTGAGATTTTCAATAAATACACATGACCTTTATATATAGCAGGTTTGACTGTATAAATGTTTCAATGTAAAATAGGATAATGATAAGGTAAACACTAGTCCTAACACCAAGACAAAGGTATTCTGGGAAAAGCAAGCAAGTTATAAACTATCCATAACCAGCTGCACCCCAACTCTAATATTGTACACATACTGCATGCAAAGTACAAATAAATGTACATGCTTTTTGAAATTCATATGTACTTCTATTGTAGGGCATCAAATGAACCAACACACACATATATATATGTACAGATATTGATAAGAATAATTATTCCACTCATGTCATTAATGCAATCCAAAAACACATTTCAGAAATTCTATTTGAACTATGTATCGCAGATACCGTACAATGTATACCCCAACAAAATTATACGATTTGGTTTAGTTTTTCCTGAAAATGTCACAGCATACTCCATTAAGGTTTTGTTATAAAATTCATATATGTAAACAAAGTTCTTCATGTTCTCGCATTTTTTTTCTTTCTTGAAATATTAGAATTGTTTTTATACTGTTACTCAATAAACAATTAAGATAGATTGAAACCCAATCAGGTAAAAAAACTTCAATTAATCATTCGTTAACATGATAAGTTCTGGGAAATCTAATATCCTATTTATTTAATGAAAGCAATCTTGGTTCAGTTTGTATACATATAGAAGTAAATGTGATATCACAAAGAGGCTAATACTTTCAAATCTAATAGGAAATGTCAATTTCAAAATAAAAATATTTGAACCAATTCAATCATAGTTCTTAGTACAAACCTATATGACCACACAAGAAACTTGCTAATTAGCTTGCTAAATATATCAACCTCAGTGATATTAAAGACTAGTACAATCCAGTATTGTTAGCCATTAAACACCTGTATTAGTTTACTTTCATCAACTTAGCAATCAATTAATGACATGAAATCATTTTCCCTACATTGTAATTTATACATGTTATAAATTTTACCTCTAGCTGACCCAGACATAACAGACGGTAGCAATTTAATTTATCAAATTTCTTTATGAGAGTTGATATCAGTCAACTGTAAACAGAGAACATGAAATGCATGTTGAAAACTGAGTGTTTTTAACAAAAAGAAAACTTTGGCTATTTTGAGACGCGTAATTATCTAAACAGGGAAATGAAATACAACGAAAAATTCAAATTACTCAAATATCTGGGTAACTAAAACCACCTCCATTTTCGTACCTTTGTGTCTTTATAATTTGATGAAAGAGAATAAATCATGTCTTAATATAAAGTTAAGATAAATCTTTAAAGTGGTTACACATTGCAAAAGTATTCAGGTAGGAAAATAACATTGTTTTATTACCAGAAACTTTGATAAATTATGATTTGTGGACAGACATTGAAATTTTTAGCCGTTGAGTGTGTATTTAAATTTTGTTTAGGACTAATATAAGTGATAGGGAAAAATAACTACATGTGTCTGCCCAAAAATTATCGCCTGCATTCCAAAACAGATTATACAATATTTTTAGGTCCACCTTAAAAAAATATCTGCTAGATACCCAGATTAAACAAGCTATACAAAACATCCTGCGTGAAGTCAATTTAAGTTTTGATTTTTATAGTGGTCTCTGAGTTAGTGAATATCTGGTCTACCTTATAACTGATATATTTTTTTAGCAAATGTATCAATGTTTGTCAAGTTATTCTTTGTACCTGTCCCCCTACAAGCCAGAAAATGTCTGGTCTACCAAAAAAATTATTTATTCTTTAAAATTAAGGGCAGTTTGTTTCAGTAATTGTATGTATATAACAATCTTAACATAAACTTATACAGTGTCATACTTCCTAAGTCCAGTCATTCCCAAGGTCGATGGACATTGGGCAAAGTCCAGTAAAAATTGGTTTGGTCCAGTTCAGTGATATGCATTACTGGACCAAATGACCACTAAAATTTTTTATTTTGTCCAATTTATATGTGTAAATGTCCCGTAAAAAAGAGTCTGGGCCAAGAAAAATGGTTTACTGGACCAAATGTCCAGTTGATTTCTCATAGCCTTGGAACTGTAAGTCATGAATAACTACTGCAATACAATCTGTGTACTCTGTGATATCTGAAAATTTACTTTACATTTATTTGTTGTTGATATTATATATCTTATCCTACTTTTAATCTTTAGATCCTGATGAAACTTGGTAAAAAAATGATTTCATGAAAATGTTATTTATTTTGCAAAATTAATACTGTATGATCCTTCATGGTGCATTAATGTAACTTTAAAGTCTTACTTCAATGATTGTTTAATGGAGTGTCTTTCTTTTTGCTATCAGTACATATTTACTTTTAAAAAGACGCCAAAAGTACAAAGCTGTCTGTCTCACAAACTACACTCTTTTTAGAGCTTTCCATACATGCTTGTATTCATAACAGGGGAAGGGATTGTAAGGGCATGTCTATTTTATTGATGGTGCTTGTTTTTAAAAATCTGGCTGGAGAAGTTGAGGACACAATTAAATTACATTTAACATGTCAGAAGAACCCTTACATGTATTTCAAGTAATTCCATGAAATATTTAGTGTATTCCAAGTAGCTGTACAATACACATTTGATTATTATTACCAAATGTCCACAAAAGAAAAAATGTACAATTTACAATAAGGAATTCAAAGTAAACGGCATAGTTACTTCAAACCAGAAATTATCTTTATTCTTTATTCATATGCCAAATATTGCACTGTCAGGTAACAATATATATGTTGTTTCCTGGTACATGTACACTGTGTACCAACTTTTTAATGGGTAGTGTTGGTTAGTATGATATTTCTCTATGGTCCATGTACCAACTTTTAAATGGGTAGTGTTGGTTAGTATGGTTTTTCTCTATACTCCACACTTCTTCTGTTTGAACTGAAGCATTCATTGTGTAAACGAAGAAATTATTTGAAATAAAAAAATAAATGAAACGTTGGTCTTTTGGGAGAGTATTCATTTGATGATTATTAAATCATATAAATGTTTTTATCCTGTAGTGAACATCATGTATAATGATAGTAAAAAGATAATATGCTTTTGATATCAACTTCTAAGTGGATGTTCAAACCTCGCCATGTTCACTAGCATCTAAGCTTTCATTAAAAATAAATTGTTTGCATAGGCGGATCCAGGGTGGGGCCCTGGGGGACCCCCCCCCCCCCCCCCCTTTTTAGTGGGAAAAATTTGGTTGATTAAATAGGGAATCACTGAAGCATGACTGTAGCGGGCCCCCTCTTATGGCAGTCAGTGGGCCCCCCCTTATAAAAAGTTCTGGATCCGCCACTGGTTTCACTGGGAAAGCCATTTGGTTAATGCGCCTGCTTATTATCTAGAAGCCTGGAATACATCTAAAAATATGGACTATGGTTAAAAGATAACCAGTAATCTCTAAATATAGATGTTTGACAAAGAATTAGATGTTTGACAGGGAATTAGATGTCCGTCTTTAACTTTAGCTGTTTGCTGTATTTTTAGACGTTTACCGTAATCCCTCTCATACTCTTAGATAATGATGTCCCTTTAAACTCGCGCGAACGATAACGTGTGTATTATTAACGTTAGCTATATATAGTATTGAAATGTTCCAGTTAAATCAATGCACATGATTTATCTAGTTTGACGGGAATTACCTGTTCGTCCGACAAAACTGATGTGTATTGAGTTGTCAATAATAGAACCAGTGATGCGTGAGCGACGGTTATAAAAACATTGTTGTAAGGAGATGAATACATAAACAATGTTTACAGAATCTGTTAAAACTAACCATCTTATTTCCCTTCGTTTAAACGATGTTTTTTGAAAATATAGTTACCTGTAAATTAAGACAGAAACAGATAATATAGATCTATGAGTTAGATGGTTATAAATATTTTTTCATGGAAGCTTTTATCAGTGTTGCAGGTTTCAAACTAAGTATATAAGGGGAAAGATCGACATTCATATACGAAACGTTTTTGAGCATGGCTTTCCTGATGAATTAAATATCGAATTTCATTGGTCAATTATAAAAATTCGTTAGGGTTCCGCGGAACCCAGTGTCTCGCCTACTTTTTCTGTTAATCGCAGGCTCAACAAAAATGAGGAAGTAAATCAATAAAACATTCCTCTTGATACTATCTTTTGATTGTAAGAAGCTTCTGTCCAAGTTTGGTAAAAATCCAGGATAGTTTATGAATCTAATAAATGTTTAAAAACTTTAACTGCAGACTGAATGTAATGTTAACTGGAAGAAAACAAAAATTCCTTCTAGATACTAGCATTTGATCATAAACAAGCTTCTGTCCAAGTTTGGTACAAATCAAAATAGTATAAGAAAGTTATTAAAATTTTAAAAACTTTAACCACAGAGTGAATGTGTTGTTTCCTGGCAGAAAATCTAAGTCCATTTAAAAGTAAAATAAGGAAAAAATAGATTTATTTTTTTACAAAATTAACTTCTGGATACTATCTTATGATCATAAACAAGCTTCTGTCCAAGTTTAATACAAACCCAGGATAGTTTAAGAAAGTTATTAAAATTTTAAAAACTTTAACCACAGAGTGAATGTAATATTTCCCGGCAGAAAAACTAAGTCCATTTATAAGTAAAATACAGAAAAAATCGAAATTTTATTTTTAAAAAATTTACTTCTGGATACTATCTTATGATCATAAACAAGCTTCTGTCCAAGTTTGGTAGAAATCCAGGATAGTTTAAGAAAGTTATTAAAATTTCAAAAACTTTAACCACAGAGT